TGCCGTCACAAATGATTGACAAGTTGGGTTGAGTCTTGCACTCAAAAACATGAAACAAAGACTGATCGAAAATTGTTCCACTTGGATGCCCTGCGGGCCTAGCTCAGTCGGTAGAGACTATGGACTCTAACCTCCTGTATCGGGGTTCGATCCTGGGTGAGAACATGCTTGCACATGTGTTGGTCATGTAGACACGACTGATGGTGAGAACATGTTTGCACAAGTGATCATTCTTGGGTGTGGTCATGGTAGACACGAATGATGCCTCTTGTGTGGTCATGTAGGCGTGAATGATGATTCCCGCATCCGCAGCTATTTGTTTATCAAGATCCACCTCCCGCAGCGCACTTTGACCGTGTGTCATAGATCAGCCGCTGGCCATGAAGAATAGCCGCCGTGCCAAAAAGACGTCTACCAAGACGCAAGCGGCGCGCAAGCTGGAACTGCGCAAGGGCTTGCAAGCCCCGAGAACGGATGCCCCACCGCTGAAAGAGGTCTCCCATGCGGAGTTTCAGGCCGCGAAAAGGGAGGAGAAGAAGAACCTGAAGCGGGCGGCCAGGGTCAAGAAGGCGGGTGAGAAGAAGCCCTATCTCTAGGAAGGCGACAACTGCCCGACCTTGGCCAAAATCAGTGGCGACGCGACGAAGTCGCAGAGGGGTGCCACCTTCACGAATCCGTTCAGTTCCTCTTTTTCGAGGGCATCAGGAGGTGATGGGCCGGGGCTCTAGTTTTGTTGCTGTTGTTGGTTGAAAAACATTTCTTTAGGGGAAGAAGCAATGTGTGTTGCAAGGCAAGTTATCATTCATGACATGAGCTAAAATTGTAGATTTACTTGGCTGGTGTTAGTGAGACATCCAGCAGCTCTCTTTCATAAGGTTGAGTAGTGCACTACACTCTCAATGACCTTTCCCTTTATTCATTCCCTTTACTCCCTTCCCTTCTCTCTATCCCTTTACTCTTTCCCTTCGCTCTTTCCTTTTACTCCTTTCCCTCTCTTTTCCTTTACTCCTTTCCCTTTACTCTTTCTCTTTCCCTTTACTCCTTTCCCTTTCCTCGAACGACCCAAAAATTGAAAAAAATTGGGTCCAAAAAGGAGGTGATTTCAATACTAAAAAATGCTCGTTTTACAAGGTCCGGCGCCAAATCCTGACCCTGAGCCTTTTTTGGGCTCCCCGATTCATTCGTATATCTTCCAAAAACAAAAATCTGAACCCCATTCATTCGTATGTCTTCCAATTCCTCGTATGTCTTCCCAAAAAAAAAATTGAACCCCAATTCATTCGTATGTCTTCCAATTCATTCGTATGTCTTCAAAAAATTGAACCCCAATTCATTCGTATGTCTTCCAATCCCTAATACCCTAAATATGTATTCAAATTTCAAATTCTTAATCCCCCAGTACTAAATATGTATCTATGAATTAGGAATGTTCCACCCTCGCCATGATGTTGGTAAGCGATGGGGGATTACAATGATTCGCCATTCATAGAGATGGCGAACATTATGTTTATTTTCAGTATGACCTTATGGTAGCGTTACTGTTTATTATCCTTATGGTTTATCATTGTGATAATTCTAGTTTCTAAGTTTCTATTGATGACTCTATTTTATATTTTCATTAACAGCGCTTTTACTATGAACATCATGAGGATTATGATTGCAATGATGTCCATGACTATAACATACTATAACTACAATGACGATAAGGACTTTTGTAGCTATTGATTTATCATTACCATTACTATTATCACATTAGTATGGATCCAGGGTTATCATTCTACTTATTACTACCAGTACTATTGATTGTGATTGTGTTTTATCACCATTGATGGATGACACTTCTGATTACCAACACCCATAATTCGGGGTAATCACAACAGTGACAATATTGATATTCATTTTCATTAGCCCCGATATCACTATATATTGATTATTACTATTACCATTAATACTATTAGCACCATGATGACATTGATATTTGATATTCATAATTCCCAATAATTTCAATAATAATTTATATAATTTCATAACCCTAAACGAATCCCATGTTTCTTCCCTAAGGTCTTCGCCATCCATCCCAGTCGCATCACTTTCAACGCCGCCATCAGCGCCTGCAGCGGTCGCGCTCAGCACGCCCTGCGGCTGTTTCGAGCGATGCCAAGGGTTCGAGTTCAACCGGACGTGCCTGGAGAAAATGATGGTTTTTTCGTTTGGTTTAAGCATCAATCATCGGTATTTCGGATGATGTAACATGATGTAACCAGGAAGATGGGGATATAACGTGATGTGATATTATCGAAGGAAGTTTAGAAGTCAAACTTCCGACAATATGGACAGATGAAAAGCAGAGTAGGGCAGAGGCAGAGAGAAGAGAAAGATTAGAAGAGAGAAGAGTAGAAGAGAAAGAGTCAGAAAAAAGAAGATACAGATGCGCGAAAAGGTAGGAAAGTCGCGAAACACTGTGTTTTTCCAATGATTTGTGGCTCCGGAGGGTCGAAAAGTAGGCTCGCTAAAGCGGCGGGTGCGGAGCCAGCTGGCCAGATGAGAGATGAAAAATTGCACGCCGTTGTGGCGCGAAGCACATTTCCAAGTCAAAATGTACAAAACACCCATTTCGGACCACTTTTGGAAGTTGAGATGTCGAAAAAGTGCACGCCGTTGTGGCGAAGCACATTTCCAAGTCAAAATGTACAAAACACCACATGTTCGCGCCACTTTTGGAGGTTCGGATGTTGGAAAAGTGCACGCCGTTGTGGCGCGCAGCACATTTCCAAGTCAAAATGTAAAAACACTAGGGGTTCGGACCACTTTTGGAAGTTGAGATGTCGAAAAAGTGCACGCCGTTGTGGCGCGAAGCACATTTCCAAGTCAAAATGTACAAAACACCACATGTTCGCGCCACTTTTGGAGGTTCGGATGTTGGAAAAGTGCACGCCGTTGTGGCGCGAAGCACATTTCCAAGTCAAAACGTACAAAACACCACATGTTCGCGCCACTTCTGGAGGTTCGGACGTTGAAAAAGTGCACGCCGTTGTGGCGCGAAGCAGGTTTCGAAGTCAACATGTACAAAACACTGGGGGTTCGGACCACTTTTGGAGGTTCAGATGTCGCTTCGCTTCAAGACACTACACTACAGGACATTACACTACACTACACGCCAGTACACTACATGACACTCCAGGACACTCCACTACACTAAATATCAAACTGGGCAATGAAAGATCCCCTATAAATAGAATTGTTAATGGGAAAATCATCTAGTAATGGTGTTTTTAAATACCAAAGGGATGTTTTTCTTCTAGCTTCATGACGAGAAGGGAGGCTGCTAACTAGATTCTAGATTTTTGTTCACATGCTAAGTTGCTGTCGCTATCCCAAGCGGATCTCAGGTGATCTCTTTCAATGCCAGCATCAGTTCCTGCGAAAAGGCCAACCACTGGCAGCAAGCGCTGGAGATTTTTGATGAGATGCTGACAGAACTTCCGCCAGATGTGATCACTTGTAGTGCCCTGATGAGTTGCTGTGAAAAAGCTGGGCAATGGCAACAGGCATCTTGGCAAGATTTTACGAAGCCTCTTCTCGCCTGCTAAAGCAGTGCTTTAAGGGAAGCAAATCCTCATTTTTTACGGAAATCTACTGGGGGCAATTGTTTTGGGATGCCTCTTGATCAGATTCAAATCTACTGGAAGCATCTAACCTTCCGGTAAATTGAACCTGGCAATGTAAAATCATGTATTTCTCGACGACATTGTGAGATTCTCTCAAATTTTTGCCTTTCAAAGTTGGTATTTTCAATTGGCCACGCAGGCCCTACATCTCTTCAAGACCATGACAGCATGGCAGCTGGAGCCGAATCTCTTCAGTTTCAATGCTGCTATCAGCTCTTGCGAGCAGCAGGGGCAATGGCAACAAGGCATCAGTTTATACCTGGCGATGCTGCAAGGTTCTGTTGCACCTGATGCTTGTTGGAGATTTCAATTTGCGAATTCCTTCCTCCAAATTGAAAAGCCCCTGAATTGGGGGACCCTGAAATGAATAGATTCGGGGGTTCTGAGTTCTAGGGTATTTATGATTAGGGGAAAAGGATCAATTTATTTTTCTTTGCAACCTCTGAGAAAATGGCATGATGAAGCTCCCCCTACATTGACTTAAGTCACGTATGTCTTGTCTTCCCTGGCTCATCCAGGATGTGATCACCTTCAGTGCCCTCATCAGTTCCTGTGAAAAGGCGAAGCATTGGCAACTGGCGCTCTGTTTCCTGACCGCCATGGAAGTTGCCCAGCTCCAGCCATCAGTGGTGAGCTACACTGCAGCCATGAGCGCCTGCCAGGGGGCGCAGCACTGGCACCACTCCGCGGCGTTGTTCGATGCCATGGGACGCCGCACGGTGCAGCCCAACGCCATCAGTTTCAGTGCCATCGTGGCGTCCTGCGAAGCGGGATGGCGATGGCAGCCATTGCCAAAGGTCTTGGAAGATTTGACGATGGCCTGGCAGAACTTGACCCTTTTGACATGTTCAGAAAGTGAAAAGTTGTGGTTGGAAGGTGGTACCAACATTGGGCAAGAATCGTGCTACTACTGTGGGCGAGTAGAACAGGGACTGATTCTCATCAAACGAAAAGTTGTAGCTGGTACAAGGGCGAAATTTCACTTCTTCCAGATGCAATATTGATTGAATAGCACCCAACAATGCGCAGTTTTCAGACCATCAACTTGTAAATGAGCTGAATTGCAATGTTGTGCGCATCAATGAGGGGAATCGTTGGAAGATAGTCTAATCTATGCCTGAGATGAACAGTCAAGAGCTGTGGAGTGTTTGTGAAGAGCATACTTAGAAATCCACCGTTTCGGGCAGGGTGGCGGTTCTTCGATCGGACATGAGGGCGTGTACCACCATGATTACTTGTCCTACACCGCTTCTATGAGTCAGAAGGAGTCAGGTTTGTTCATGTCCAACGAATCTTGGTTTAATGTTTGAGGTCCTAGGAACCAAACAATGGTCTTGACCATTTCGTTTTGGTCTTTCACGACTCAGCCCAGGTCATTCCCAGAACGGCGCTGCGAGACAAGCCAAGGTGGGGCAGTGGGACGGCTCGTGCTGGGGCTCAAACTTTGGGCCTGGTTAAAATCAGAGCTACAACTCCACCGACTTGCGGGAAGATAAATCCCAACAAGAAGGATTCCAGAATTGTAGGTGTGATGTGATGTTTGTACCTGCGTGCCTCTCCTGGTACAGCTGTATGTATCTCTATACTCTATTTATAACTCAATGATGCTTTCCATGGGACGGTTTCAATGATTAAACAATCGTTGATCCCATTGCGCTGGTCGTTACCTGGTTCTTTAACATAGCGATAGAAAACGGCCCATTCATAGATGATTTATGGTGATGTACCGATTTAACATGTCGATGTTCCAAAGCCATGTTATATTACCAGATGGTACCGTGTCATTGTTCACCCCGTTTTCTCTTTGGTTACATCCCATTCCCGAAGAGATTATGATTGATGTTGTTGGCCAGTTTGTCCCATTACATCCCGCACAACTTATCCCATCAGCGGTGTGGGGCGTTTGTTTCATTGTTGCATATTGTTGCTGGTTACATCCTCTCAATATTGGACACCCCAAAAGCTAAGCAATTGCTTGGCTTGCTTAGCTTTTGGAGGTGTTCTCGGATGTGATTTTTGATCCCCCATTTAATCCAGCTAATCCAATATAATCTGATTACTAGTAGTTCATGGCCCATGGCAACCCAAAACCGGATACTTTTGAGTGGTGGACGAGTCAAATCCGTCGACTAGAAAGTGCCACAGCTGCCACCTGTCCTCTCTTTTTTTGGTGATCAAGATGTGATACAGACATTATATAGTAATTTGATAGTTACTAGTCATAGATGACAGTATTAGTCATTATTCCCCTCTTGTAAATTAACAATAGACCCTGAAAATAACCCATGTTCAGTGGAAATTAATCTTCCAACCCCTATCTGGCGTCGTCATGTTATCTTATTGGAGGGTAGACCCAATTAACTTCTGGTTGGTGGTTTGGAACATGGATTTTATTTTTCCATATATTGGGAATAGTAATCCCAACTGACTTGCATATTTTTCAGAGGGGTAGGTATACCACCAACCAGACTTTCAGATACCCCTACACCAAAAACTAGGATCGAATGGTTCAGCCCAGCCACACCTTGCAGGTCCTACAGGTTGCCCTGGCAGAACTGGAAACCTTCACCCGGCCCAGTCGCACAGGCTGGATGGATTTTACCATGGCAAATTTGGGGTTTTGCCAACCAAAATGTGGTCGGATAGTCGGATTTTTGTGCTGTTGAAGCGTGAAAATGGTACTGGTATGGATTCCATCAATAGAAATAAATAAGAGGGAACCCGTCAGAGGAAAAACAGACATTGACCAGGTTTTTTTTGACAAACATTGGAAATCAATCATGCAATCCTCAAAAAAATTGATCATCTAAAATGCGAATGCAGCTTGTACAAACAGCCAACATGAAGGTATACAAAAGGCCACATATAACAACTCCAAAATGGTCACGCACGGGAAATTCCACTTGGGAAACGAACATCATCTATCCATGCTGGATGTGCCATTGCTTTTTTTGACAACAGGCGCGGGCAAAATGGGATACAGCCCCTCAACTCTCAGTATTGAAAATCCAAAAACTCAACACAGGAAATTATATTGAAATCCAGGGGAAATGGGCAAGAAGATGGTTGTGCAACCACTAGGCAGGTTGACCTTCAGTCTTTAGGTGAGATACACTTAAATTAACGGGATTATGCCTTTTGCTCGGGTAAAATGGGGCGTGAATCATTCATGGGGTGCGTTTGTTCATGTTGAAGGCAGCTTTGAAAGATGGGACGATCGAGTTCCAATCAGGACACAAGCAATTTAGAGGATGCCAACCTCCGGAAAGCCTCATTATTATTGGTTGGAATCAGCCCCAAGTTGTTGATCACAGTGTACATGTTAATCCCCATATCCACTTTGTTAAAGTTCCTACTCTGGCCTGATCACTTGTGGATGGCAAATAACTGCCCGCATCGTGACAAAACAATGTTGGCTCCAGCGTCTCAATGCCAGAAGAATAGGCCCAAAAAATGGGGGCCTGACGGACATATCACTGTGAATTGGGGTGATGAATGCAACTTTTGCCAACAAAAAGAGTAAGGATGTAATCAACAAGAATGCGCAAAGCATCACCTTTTTTGGCAGCACTTGGGACATCCAGCCATACTACATCCGTCCGGGGAAAGATATGTTCTTCTGGCGTGAATGGTTCCAAAACTTCTTGGAAGATAAGATGATAGAAAAATAAATTCACACTAAATAGTGATAAATCAAGTGTTTCTATCTTTTTGGGGGTTGCTAATACATGTATACACCATCTATACATCGTCATGGCGTTAGTCAGAGTACACCTACATCCCAGGTCAAATTGAACATCTCCAACGGAAATGAGATGCATTTTTGTCCGGCTACTGACAAATCAAGCCATCAAATTAGTGACAACGCGTTTTCAGAGTATTTCATCTTTGACCCACAAACCACTTCAATGTCATCCATTTCATTCCCTAGCATTGAACCTCCTCACAATCGGTTGGAAAGGTTGGAAAGTGGCCATAGATAGCCCGTACTTTGAGAATCTTTGAGAGCCTTTGGTTCCCCCATGCCGACCCTAACCTGCGCACGGCTGTGAACGCCTGATGAGCGAAGGCTACGGGATGTTGGACATGGATGGAGAAAATGAGGCTTAATATTTGATCATCAAAAGTAGGGATTTAAACATCAGAAAAGTGAGGATTTAAGCAGCCAAAATCGAGCTTTCACCAACCACAACAAGGACTTAACCCTTCCAAGTCGGGATTTAGCCATGAATGATTTAATCGTGTATAAGCTGTAAAGATACAGATATGAATCAGACATGATCGTTGACGGTGATGGTTTTCTGACACGGTGGCTTCCACGGCCGGATAGAAAGTCAAGCTCCTTATTCTTGCGCCTAAAGGTGCCAGGCAAATCATCAGTTGCCAGCAAGCCACATGCAGAAACTTCCTTGCCCACCTGGAGAGGATGGCCCTGAGTTGACAATTGCCCCGCATTAGATACCAAGTGAATGGGTTCATGTTCGTCCATTTTCGTTAAAAATGATAGGATCCCTGCTAAAAAGTTGTTCTTTTTTGCTGTGCATCCATGGCATGTAGAAGGATATGCTTTGGGCAAGGGTGTCAATAGTAGATCGGGCTGAGTTGGCAGCAGTACTTAGATCATTTGCAATGATACCATCAACTCTTAAATTGTTGGACCAGCGGCTGGTAACTGTCCCATGTTGAGGATTCTCATTACCTACCAAGGTGGTTGTTTTGGAGATGGTCCAACTCCATGTTTCAATGGATGTTTCTCCATCTTCAGGACCCTAAAAAAGCATTGTGCTTCCTTCCTAAACATTACTGCTTCTGCCGATTTCTCTAGGATCCCCAAGGTTAAGAGTTTTTGTTGATGGCATATCATCTGAATATTTAACATAGCCATGGAAAATCCCTTATCAATTGATGTTTTAAAAGGTAAACCATCTATAAATGGACCGTTTTCCATGGCTATGTTAAATAACCAGAGGGTAATTGTTCTGACTTTTTGGGGGGTCCCGAAGATGCACAAAAAAAACTATTGGTACATGTCAGCAGCTGATGGGGAACTCGTGCCAGGCGAGTCGGACAAGGACTCCGAGGCCGAAGCTCCAGAGGAGAAATCCAATGGCGAGGCTCCGGAGGATGAGGACAGCAACTGCATGTGGCTTGCCCAGTGGCCAGTTGACTGATCGAATCTATGAATCCATGAAGGAAATTGACCTGTGGTAATTCACATAGCGAACTGGAAGATCACCATGCTATTAATGGATAAATCATTTATACATGGGCCATTTTCCATAGCCATCGGTTAAAAAAAAAGTACAAGGCTTCCCCCAAAAAGATGAGCAAAGCCTTGCTTGCAACCATTGAGCCACTGGTGGTTCGTCGACCCACTAGCTGACTATCAAAAGAAGGGGATACGGATTGTAAACACATGGTCCGCTGGAGACTTTACACTATCATTTACAGGGGGTATGGATGATGATCTGGTACAGGAAAGATTTTTCGGATGGCTCAAAGTGTTTGACATCCAGAAAAGGCAGAAGGGATTCGATTCACAACCAGATGCCTAGGGCTCAAACGTCTCGGCTCCCAAAGATGAAATACGTAGCCCAATCGCTAGGGTCCTCCAGGTGAAATGGTGAACCAACCGTATTGTAAGTATGGGGGCCCATGAGCCTATTGAAGCACTTATGTTCATGTCTGTGCCCCTGGATTTGAACCAATAACCACGTATTGTTCCTTGAATTTCCCATTTTGGTTCACGTCCTGAAAGTTATGGTTTCAACTTCAACCCAACCAATATGATGGTCCCCAACCTGTGATATATAACCAGTCCAACTGATAAATGGTGTTGCATATCTATTAAACCCATCATTCGAAGCACACGTGCAGGACTTGGATAAAGCCACCGAGATGGCTGGGCTCCAAAAGTTCAAGCTGCGCTCCGAGCAATGCAGCGAGGAGCGGCGCCACACCCCGAGCCCCGAGGTCCGGCGTCAGCAGCGCGAGCGGTCCCAACGGTCGCGGTCGCAACGATCGCCACGGAAGGGCAAGGGAAAGGGCCACAGCCGGGTGCTGAACCGGTCCAGAGGGCGCTTGGGGGATGGAGAACTGGTCAAATTGGCTAAAGATTGTGAGGAAAATTATGATGAGATCGATTTGTCTCGAAATCACTTTACCTCTGAAGGTGTTGCACAGATTTTGGAGATTTGCAAAAAGTCTCCGGATTTGAAAGTGCTGAAGCTCTTCAACAATCAGTTGGGTGATGAAGGTGCTGAAGAGTTGGGAGAAATTTTCAAGCATTGCCACAGCATCGAGGAAGTGCATTTGAGTCACAACAACTTCAC